ACAAAAAATGAAAGGTGTCACTCTTGCAGGCTAGGTGGCAGCCTAAGGATGTATCACAATTGGACAGTAAGGGAGGCGCCATTGGACTTGGAGAAAGAGTACAAAAATGAATGGTGTCGCCACCCCAATTGGCGAATAAGAGGTGTCCTTTGTTGCAGGCTAGGCTCAGGCTACGTGACAGCCTTTGGGATGCCTTGCCTGAATGCATGTAACCCCATTGGAGGTGATGGGAGGAGACTTACAACATACAGTATAGGTGCAAAGTAGGCGCAAGCTAGGTGGCAGCCTAGGGAGTTACATATCTGCATGCATGTATCACAATTGGACAGTAAGGGAGGCGCCATTGGACTTGGCGAAAGAGTACAAAAATGAATGGTGTCGCCACCCCAATTGGCGAATAAGAGGTGTCCTTGGTTGCAGGCTAGGCTCAGGCTACGTGACAGCCTTTGGGATGCCTTGCCTGAATGCATGTAACCCCATTGGAGATGATGGGAGGAGACTTACAACATACAGTATAGGTGCAGAGTAGGCGCAGGCTAGGTGGCAGCCTAGGGGGTTACATATATGCATGCATGTATCATGATTGGACAGTAAGGGAGGCGCCATTGGACTTGGCGAAAGAGTACAAAAATGAATGGTGTCGCCACCCCAATTGGCGAATAAGAGGTGTCCTTGGTTGTAGGCTAGGCTCAGGCTACGTGACAGCCTTTGGGATGCCCTGCATGTAACACTATTGGCAGCCTTAGGGGTTGCATCCTTACTTAATTGAAATTTTTAGTCTTACGTTTACCATAACATTGATTCACTTAATCTGTCAAATCTTCCAACCTTCAAACGTTCTTACAATCAAACCTTCAAACCTTCAAACAATCAAACATATAAACTTTCGAATAACTCATAAAGTTCAAACATTCCAACCTTCAAACCTTACAGCATTCAAACCTTCATACAATCAATAAACTTCAAACATTCCAACCTTCGAGTCACTCATAAAATTCAAACATTCCAACCTTCAAACAATTCTACGCAATGGCCTCTGCACCACAATTTGTCGTCAAAGCACATTTCAACGGTGAGACATACATTTGTCCCACCGCTGGGTTTTTGTTTAGAGACACAGACAACATCCGATTTCTCTTAAACGGGAAAGCCAATTTCTCGTACTTCAAAAAACGATTGGAGGCCAAACTTGAACGAGGCCCGGTGTCCCGGATATTTTATCAGAATCCAGTTTTTTTGGAAACAACCAAGTAATTTTTTATAAGGTTGAAGTTCAAGATGACGAGGATCTCCAGAATATGTTTTCCAGACATGTCTATTCTGGGTACGACTCTATTGAGTTGTATGTTATGCTGCGAGAGCCTCAGGTGACACAAGAGGTTGATCCTTTGGAGAATGAACAAGCTAAGGTTGATGCAGTTGATGATGAAGAAGAAGATGACGAGTTAGAGTTTGATGAAATGGTGAATGATGATTCCGACGATGATGGCATCCCTAGTATTCCTGCAAACGAAATCTACACACCACCTCCGCACATGACAAACTTCAACATGGGCGGAGATGAACCTTCTACTGACTTATTTTTCAATCCGTATATGCAGTCGGATGAAAATTTAAAAGAGAAGGACAAGTTTCGTAACAGAGAGGAATGCATCAGGGCCATTAAAAAATTCCACATGCTCAACTCGGTTGATTTTAAGGTGGACCGTGTCAACCCGGAAAGGTACAAGATCAAGTGTGTCCACCCTGACTGTATGTTCAAGCTAAACGCATCATACATATTAAGGGGTGACTGCTGGGTCATAGGTTCCATGACTACCCACACTTGTGTAAGTTCCACTCAATCACAGGACCACCGAAAACTCAACTACGATCTCATCTGTCAAGAAATCCTACCCCTGGTCAGCAACGACCCATCTTTGAAGGTGAAAACAATCATCTCCCACATCACCACGGTTTTTAACTACACTCCGTCTTACCGTAAGGCGTGGTTAGCAAAGACTAAGGCGATTGAAAGGGTGTACAGAAACTGGGAGGAGTCATACCAAGAACTTCCCCGCTACCTGAATGCACTCAAGACGTATTCTCCAGGTAGTGTTTACGTTATGGAAACAGTGCCAGCATACGCCCAAGATGGTAGTCTACTAAATGGCAACGGAATATTCAGTCGAGTGTTTTGGGCATTTCAACCATGCATCACAGGGTTTGCATCATGCAAACCAATTATACAAATTGATGGGACTTGGTTGTATGGGAAGTACAAAGGCACGCTACTGATGGCAGTTGCACAAGATGGCAACAACAACATTTTCCCCATTGCCTTTGCCCTTGTCAAGGGGGAGACCGGTGGTGCTTGGAGCTTTTTCCTGAAAAATCTGCGGACACACGTGGCTCCTCAACCAGATCTCTGTTTGATCTCGGACAGACATGCCTCCATTGAAAGTGCCTACAATAATCCTGTAAATGGTTGGCATGACCCTCCTTCTACACATGTCTATTGCGTTAGGCATATCGTCCAGAATTTCTCGAGGGAGATCAAGGACAAAACATTGAGGAAAACGGTTATGAATGCGGGATATGTATTGACATAACCCACATTCAAATATTACCGCAACGAGATCCGTTTGTCAAATTCGGAAGCCGGTAGGTGGATCGACAATATTCCGGTGGAAAAATGGACTAGGTCATACGACAATGGCCAAAGATGGGGGTATATGACAACGAATCTTATTGAATCAATGAATGGGGTATTCAAAGGCATACGAAACCTTCCAATCACTGTCTTGGTAAAATCTACGTATTTTAGGATGGCTGCGTTATTTTCCAAAAGAGGTGAAATGTGGAATGCGGTGTTGCAATCTGGACAACTATGGAGTGAAAGCTGCATGAAATACATTAAGGATGAAAGTGCTAAAGCCAACACTCATATGGTTATACGGTTTGAGCGAAACATCCACAACTTCATTGTGAAAGAGACAATCAACCACAATGAAGGCCTGCCAAGACAAGAATATAGGGTCATGCTACCTTCTCAATGGTGCGATTGTGGCAGGTTTCAAGCATTTCGTATGCCTTGCTCTCATGTAATTGCCGCTTGTGCTCATACCCATCAAGACGCGCTGCAACTTCTGTCAAACATTTACAAATCTGAAACGTTGCTCAACGTTTACAACAACAACTTTCCTTTGGTAGCAAAACCAGATTATTGGCCTGCATACGACGGAGAAATAGTGTGGCACAATGACCAAATGCGAAGGAACAAGAAGGGTCGTCCCAAAAGTAAGCGCATCACAACATAAATGGACGATCTTGACAAGTTGGAAAGAAAGTGTGGTTTATGCCGTCAGGTCGGACACAATCGCAAAAACTATCCGAATCGGGCGTCTGCCTCGACCACATAAAAATTGTAATACATAAAATCTTTCCTTAATTGTGTTGTAACATTTGGGTTTTTCGTTAACAGATTTTGCTACAATTAATAAAACGCGTACAAAAATAATTAACGATATTTCGTCTACGAAATTACAACTGTTAACACAATTTCATCTGACCCATGCATCATCAACATTACATCGCTGTCTGTTTTGACTTCCTCCAACCATACATTAGGTCTTCCTGTCGCATGTGAGGTTGTTATTCGTTTTCGCTGGATCCTTCGAATTTTTCCCCCCTCCGCAATGTCTCCATCTAGCCATCGCATCAACTCCCGCTTCAGACGCTCCATGGAGTGAATGTGCCAGAATTTCATTTTCATCGCAGGTTTCGTGGCGGAGAAGATAACGTAACCATCTCTGCTAAAAATCATAGGCGACGTCATGACGCAAATAACAGAGTACAAAATAAAAATACAGTGCGAGAAAGTGTGCGAAATTTCGGAGAAACAGACGAATTATTTATAAAACAGCATTTTGCCCTAGTTTTACCCTAGGAGCCAAGTGAGATGACGTCTCCTCTCACTTTTAAGGAGCATGCGCCATCTCACTTGGCTAAAAGCCAAGGGAGGCGCCAAGTGAGATGGCGCCTAGGGCAAAAGTGTAGGTGCATGCGCCAATTCAGATGGCTCCTCCTTTGGGGAGTCATCTGAAACATGGTTATTTGCGTAATTTTTTCCGAAACTCGGTTATTTACGAAATATTATTTTAATACATGGTTATTGTAAAAAAAAATTCATATATTAATGCATTTTATAAATTTTGTATGTAAATGATATACTGAAATTCAAAAATAATTTAATAATATTTTCAAATAATCCCATAGCTTATACACAATTTTGTTCCATATTATTTGTTTTAGGTTTTATTTAAATTCTGAATTTTAAACAAAAAGTTTATAGTACATAAACAAATTGTTTAAATTCAATGTTGATAGTTATATGAATTTATAATATTATATGATAAATGCAAATACAACAAAGACATAAGTCTTGATTTTCTTGAACAAATTTTTACGACATTCTTAGATATCTTAATTATTTAAACCATATCTTGAATAAATTAATAGGTAAAGAACTCTTCACCTGTATTATATATTTTGAGTAAATTGCATTCAATGGGATAATTTAATTATTACTTCTAAAGAAATTTTTTTTAAAGGATTTTATAAGCTACTTTAGTTCTAATAATTGTGATGGAGGGAACTAATTCAATTATTCTTTCATTTAATATATATATATATATATATATATATATATATATATATATATATATATATATATATATATATATATATATATATATATATATATATATATATATATATATATCATAGATTATAACCTGCTACTTATTATCGTTTGTTATCGATTTTTAATTTTTGTCGTGGATTCTCTTAATCTTCATATATAGTATATACATCTATTAAATTTAGAAGTATTTAATAATATTCTAACATAAATGACCATAAAAGTAATTAATAACTACACTTTATGAATATTATAAATAAATAATTAATATAGTTTTTCTTATATTTCATTTGATGTTATTGCAGAAAGAAAAGCATCCATGATCAATTCAGCAAAGGAAAATGATGACATATCAGGAGATAATTCAAAGAATAAGAAATTCTCGTATTCAAATGGAAGTAAGACCGGTCAAAGTGGTCGACGAAGAAAATATTTAGAGTCAGGTGAAGAAGATTCAAGATACATTATGCTCAACAATCCTAAAATAAAGGAAAGAAATTCAAATCAACTCGCTAATATGGCTAAACATAAAGAAACAAATGTCCCAATAGTTTCTCCCATATTTCAACCACAACATAAAAATCAAAAACATGAAAGGGATTTAATACCTACGTTTCCAGGGATGAAATTTACTGGGGTTATTGACGGAATAATTTCTGGAGGACACTTGTTCACTATAAGAGTAGGAAATGGTCATAGTTTTCAAGGTAAATCTTTTTTCTCCTCTCATATACTTGCACAAATTGAAGAAGGTTCTAGCGTGAATGTTCCATGGGCAAGTCCCACTAATAATAATTTTACTCAAATGAATCATAATCAAAGTTTGAATCAAGAGAAGGAGAAGGATCATCTCAAAAACATATTGAATCAAGAATCATGTAGAAGTTTTGGCATAAACAAAAATTCTTTTGAATTTGAAATAGATGATGAATTACATTCCGATTACTCATACATTGAGATGCCGCCTTCACCTGAACCTCATGTGTCTGATCCTTTACTAGTCACAAATAAATTTGTGCCTGTAGTGCTTAAACAAGTTAATCCATTAATTAGGGTGCCAATTGATCAAACAAAATCTCCCGATAAAGGAAAAAACAGAACTAAATATTATCATACTCCAAATCCAAAAAATTATAGAATAGGCATAGGTCCTTTTTTATCAAGGAAATTTCCATCTCCAGCCATCAGTATAAGTCCACCTTGTGATGGTGTACGGAAAAAAAATTTCTCTAATAAAATTTTAGTCGTTAAACAATATGCAAGACTCTCTCAGTCAGGTACATATTCATATACTCTTGATTAAAATATTAAAATTAAATTTCATAAATATTATGTAAACGTTGACTAAACACTTGTTATAGGTTCAACATCACTTAATCGAAACACAAGCCAACATGTATTGCTCAAGAATAATGAAAAGATTGTGCAATGCCAACTAGCTAGCATAAGAAAAAGAACTGTCTCTACTGAAATTTTAGACATTGAACAATATATAAGACTCTCTCATTTATCATCTCTTGATCAAAATATTAAAACTAAAGTCTTTGAGTTATGCAAGAGCTGACTAAATATGTGTACATGTTCATTATCACTTAATCAAAACACATGCCAACATGCGTTGCTCAAGAATAATGAAAAGATTGTGCAATGCCAACAATCTGGTATAACAAAAAGTAATTTCTCTATTGACATTTTAGTCACTGAACAATATATAAGACTCTCTCAACCAGATACATATTCATCATCTCTTGATCAAAATATTAAAATTAAAGTCCATGAATATTATGTAAGAGCTGATTAAACATATGTGCAGGTTCATCATCGCTTAATCGAAGCACAAGCCAACATGCGTTGCTCAAGAATAATGAAAAGATTGTGCAATGCCAATCGACTGACATAAGAAAAAGAAATGTCTCAACTAAAATTTTAGTCACAGAACAATATGTCAAACTCTCTCAGCCAGGTAAACATTCATTATCTCTTGATAAAAAATATTAAAATTAAAGTCCATGAATATTATGCAAGATAAGACTAAATATGTATACAAATTCATCATCACTTAATCCAAACACAAACCAACATACATAACTCAAGAATAATGAAAAGATCGTGTAATGTCAACCAACTTCTTCAAATCTAACTAAAATGGTGAATTCAATTTGGACAACAAGTCATCAAAAGAGATTAATGAGACAACAAAATAAATTGATTTATAATGTTTATATAAAGTTCCAATGTAACTCAAAATTCTTAAATGTTGTGATTAATTTAAAGTTTCAGGTGAGAAGGGTTCTAGCATTGAGCAACAAGGAAATACATTTTTTATTGACTCGGAGGAAGAAAATGACGACGATGACGATACTTAAACAAATTTTACCTATGGAGCTTTTAAAGTAGCTAGGCATATGCAGGTAAAATACTTTAAAACTTAATTAATATAACAATAAAATTGAGAGTTGTAAGGCAAAAAAATAAAATAAGTATATCTTTGAATCACATGTTATACTATATGTTTGTTAGATTCTAGGATCTAATTGTTCTAAACTACTATAATTTATTATAAATAAAAAACGCTACTTTAGTTTATATTTTCTGATATATATGGTATTTTGCAGGATGATAGCTGATTTGGAGATGAATGGGTCAATAAAGTTACTAAATGCTTCAGGGGATTTATACTATAACTATAGTGCACAATTAGTAAAGTTGGTTGATATTAACATTTTAGATGATTTTTTAAGTTTTCGTTGAATCGTTATTTTGATGAATTTTAGACTTTGTTTCTCATTAAATAAATTTGGATATTTTTCTCTTAATTTATTTAAAAATGATGAATTGAATTTGTTTAAATATAAATATTGTTGGAGCCTAATTAAACTATTATGTATTGTGTCACAATATTTAAATAAGATGGCACAAATTTCTCGTTTATATAAAAGAAAAGGAAAATGAGTGGATGGATAAAAAATAATAAGATTTTTTTACTTATTTTGAAAGAATGGTTTTTTTTTTTGTCAAAAGAAAAAAAATATTTTTTTTCTTAAAGTTAAATCTCTTTTTTTGTCCTTCTAGTTTTTTATTTTCAATTTTTATAAAAAAAAAGTTAAATAAAGAATAATTTTATATTTTATTTGTAAGAAAGAGATAATAAATACATATTTTCCCATTTGCTTCATCTCATCTTATTACACAATAAAGAAGTTTAGTCTTTTATAACACGCCTTTAGCAAAAAACTATCGTGAAAGACACTAAATTGGGTAACTTTATATATAATATTTATTATTAGTCTTTGATCGGATTTGACTAGAATGGACCGTCACAACTTACGTCGAGCAGAAGTTGAGAGTGAGTTGGGAGGCTACCCGCAAGACACTCCGATGCCAAAGTGAGATTCAGAATGATGCAAGCAAGTAAGAGTGAGTAAGAAGTGATCAATACTTGACCCTCTCGAGTGAGAGGGTATTTATAGCCCTCAACGCTGGGTCAAGGTCCCCTTGTTGGGCTAGGCAAGCAGGCCCAAAGTGGAGACTGTCGGGTTCTACGTGAGTAGTAGGGACCAACACGTGATCCCCTGCCTGGATGGATTCTTCCGTATGACCAGGAGAATATGGATGTGGGTTTTTCGGGGTCAAATGGACTCCGTCATGTTCAGAGGCGTTGATACTCAGTCCTACGAGGATGATGCTCGTGAGGTACTTCTGCCCGTCAGGCAGGATCCCCGCTAGCCTAAGGCTGTGCGAGAGGAATAGTCTTGCTCGAGGAGAAGCCAGGTGGATACTCTCGAGGTCCTCTTGCCTGGTGATGCAACTTCTCGCGTCTTCCTGGGTCCATCCTCATGTGGCAAAGCAGCGTCCTCTCGAAGAGTGATGATTATTGCCCGATGGTTGACTTGGTCAGCAGGTCTTGGACGGCGCGGCTGGGTTGGGCCTTATATAGACTTAGGCCAAGAGCAGGCCCAGTCCAGAATAGGAGCCCCCCAAGTCGTTGCTCCTGATGAAGTAGTTATGACTTGTTAGACGATGTGACGGATCTAGAAGGGGGGGGGGTTGAATAGATCCCTTTGAAAATTTTGCACTTTTTGTAAAATTGTTTTTATCAGAGAGCGACAACCCTGAATCTGATTGTCTAAACTTTACGTATTGGAAAGATCGGATATGCGAACCAATTTGATGAAAATGATGAGAATAGAATCATAACTAAAATTGAATATGATGAATCGCTTTAGCAAGTTTAACAAGGTGTAAATTATTACCAATTAGTTGCGGAGAAGATAAAACAAATATGTGAGTTGTAAATTCACCAAACACTTGGTGTACGTACTACACAAGGTTTGGTTATACTCAAATTGTAGTGATTATAGCGATTCAAATGAATGCTATATGAGTTGTAAATTTTAGTTTGTCACTACAATTATTTTGTATGAATGAGAAAGATTGATAACTCAAAAATTCAAAAAAATAGAAATAAAATGCAGAAAACTAAAATGGACACAATATTTGTTAAGGCAGTTCACCCTGTCGTCCTCGCGTGGGCTACTCTGCCTCCAATTCTATAATCTAGAATTAGGATTATGAAATTAATTTTGCAAAGTTTGTAAGAGAAGATACAATCACCACAATTCAAAGTCACTTGGTGAATCTTATATGTTGCACTCCTCTTCCCTTGATTCAGTTGAATCAAGTATGCCAAATCTTGAACAAAATCTCCTTCTACCTTGAATGGTTTTGAACCCTAGAAATTAGCCCCAAATCCTTCTTCACAATCCCTCGGTTACCGCTACCCGATTGAACACCCCACGGTCTTTTAATCCCTTAGCTCGGCTAAATTCAATGAAGCAAAGACTTGTGATAAAACCCCCAATTTTGGAGGATAAAACCCCAATGGTTTTATTCAAGAAAAAACCCACAAAGATCTCTACCCAAATCTGAAATTGCACTTTCAATTCAGACGTTATCAACACAATCCCAAAAATTTGATCAATAAAAACGATTGTGTATAGTTGTTGATGGTTGATGAGAGGTTGAAGATGAAGAGATCTCTTGTGTCTATCTTTCACTTTTTCTTGTTATCTTTTGAAAATTGAGGCCAAACAATATATATAAGTGATTTCCATGATGTAACAACATAGCAGAAAAAATGAGACAATTTAGCGATGCGTCGGCTCATGCAGGGTGTACAGAAGGCGTGCGCCTTCCCGAGCGAGAGAGGTTGAAATTCCTTCAGTCATGCGCCGACTCATTGCCTGATGCGCCGACTCATGTTTTCCCAGAACTATGTGTCGACACATAGAGAAGGCGTCTGCCTTCCCGGACATTGCCAAGCCAAAATCTTCTTCTCATGAGCCGACCTAAGGTTCCATGAGCCGGCTCATGCAGTCTGTTTTGAGAAAAATGCTTGTTTTTGATGTTTCTCACTTGCACCTGTTTGAAGCATGCAATATTTGCATAGATAGGTTTTTGACAAGCATTAAAACTCAGTTCTTTCACCTTTGCCCTCACATACTCCCCCTGTTTGATGATGGCAAAAACCATAACTCGCAAATATGAATCGTCTCAATGGTTGCGAATCATCCAATCATCCTCCCCCTGAGATATTGCATATTTCTGCCGTGTATTCCTTCTCCCCCATCAAAAATATCCCAAATTAACATAACCTCAGGTTGATCAATACGGGACAACCCACCCTTTTTGGGGTGAATTATCCTTGACACAATCCATTGCGTAATTCGAGCTAGAGGAACCAATTGACCCGTTGTGACAGTTTTTGGAAAAGAACTACTTTGCACAAAACTCTCAGGATATGGTCGTTTTAACATGGAGTTCAAGGCTTGTTTGAAGTCATAGTCTGCAGGAAGCTTAGTGTCGGTGATTTTAACAGCATCGGTGTCAACAGGGAACAACTCAAAATCTTTCCAAATTTCATCATCTACCTTGACAACCTTATTTGCAATTTTGTATGAAAATTGGTGATAAGAGAATTTACCTTGTATACCCGCATAGAATACCTTGACGAGTACCTCATTGTAGTCTCCATCCAACTCAAGGAATGGAAACACCTTTTGATGGTCCAACAATTCCACCACATCTAAGATATGCAGGCGTTTGAGAGTGACACGGAAGGCACATAATTGCCTAACCAACCTCCTTTTAGCAAACTTCTCATCATACTTTTCAGTGAGTTCAGGAGGAAGAAGTGATAGAGGAGTAACCCGAGTTTGATTTGAAGAGCTACCTCTGATAATTCTTTTCTTTGTTGCCCTAGAAGCCATGGATGAAGGTTTAGAGAGATTCGAAGTTGAAATGACACAATGGGTTTTTAGGATTTTGAGATGGAGAGTGTTGTACCCCAAAATTTGCCCTCGCATTTTTCCACAAAAGATAACAACTTCAAGCATTTCTTGATTTTTTTAAACTGGCTCAAGAATCGGACAAACGGACTTTTCTTGTCAGTCAAGCGAAATTAGGGTTTTTACTGATTTTCAGAACTCTGGATTGTTTCACAGTTGGCTTAGGGTTTTGGATGATTTTTGGTTCAATTTTGATCAGGTGAGCGTTATTTGGCATTTAATCAAGAATTAAGGTTTTATGGGCATATTCTCAGCAAAATTAAAATTCCACAGCACTTTGCAAGATTTTCCAAGATTCGGGTTGGATTCGCATTGTTTTGACTTAATCAGTAAAAGAGGCAGTTGGTTTGAATTCACGTTGGTTTGTTTGAGTCAGTCAAAAGAAACATGCAGTTTGGAATTACAGTGCTTGGCAAAAGAATCAGTGAAAAGGGAATGCGCTTGATCAGTTTATTTTGGTTAACTGCTGCTTTGCTTTGGATATTGGAAAAGACAGGTTTAATTGATCAATATTACTAAAGACATTGTTTTATTTAAGTTATTTATTATTCTAAATTGAGTGATTGAAATTTATTTTTCAATTGTTTTAATTCAAAGAGTTTTAAATAAATAAATAAACAATAAAGAGAAATTATAATTAAATTGGATAATGGAAACTTTTATTTATCTTTAAATTAAATGTACAATTGATGTTTGGAATTTAAATTACAAACATTGGTCTTACATTGATTTAAATTTAAATAAAAAGAAAACTATCCTATTTATTTCTAATTCTTCATTCTTCACTTCGCTCCGGTGCTCCATTTTTCGTCTGCAAAAGAAAAGAGAGAAAAGTCAAAAAGCAGTTAAATTGAAAACGGATAAAATTTGCAATCATCATTAAGGGCCACTGACTGGGATCAGTTAACCCTCTCTGCAAATCACGGGATTTCTCCCGGTTCACAAAGAGGGAAGAATTTTATCATAAATGCAAAATGTCAAAATGCATATTTTTAAAATGTCAAACTGCATAGTTCAGA